CCTTAAAATCTTATTTATCCTTACTTCATATTTTTTGTGTCTTATTTTTTATATTTCTAACTGAAACCTCATTTCTTCTCACCTGGAATAGCAACACAGCCTTCTTAATGGTCCCCCTGATCCCTGGTTGCTCTCCATTCAGTGGAGCCTCCACGTTGCAGCCTCATTCACCTTCACACAAGCCTATTTTGATCATGTTACTTCTCTGAACAGATCCCTTCAAAAGAAAAGTTAAACTCCCTGACCACAGTTCTTTGGTCAGCTCCAATTTACTTTTCTAGGTGTATCTCCCATTAATTTCCATATATTCTCCAAATTTCAGTCAACTACCCCCAATCCTTCGAATCACCTCCAAATCATCCAATTCTACTTACTCCACATGGGAGATCTTCTTCTCAACTCCAAATTCCCATGCATCCTTCAATCCCAGAATTAAATATAACCTATTCTATATTTAAAAATAAGCAGTTCTAATGTTCCTTAGATATAGCATTGGAATTGCTTCAGCCCTGAGTCCAGGTTGTCCATGCAGTCAGATCATACAGGTGTTTACATGCCACAGAAAGAACCTTGGAATTCATTCTTTAGGCTACAGGGAACCAATAAAGAGTGTTGTGCATTGGAATTATAAATCAGAGTTGTATTTAACATAGATGATGCTGCGGCAGCGGAGAGACTGAATTGGATGGGAGTAAAGAGACTGTGGCAGAATCCACTGAGCAGTTTCTGGATTTGCCTGAGACATAAGACTGAAAGAGTACATTGGGAGGGACTATGATGAGCTCAATTCTAAGTGTGTTGAATGTGAGGTTCTAGGCAATAGGGTGAGACAGGCAAGGTGCCCGAGTGCGTGACTTAAGGAGGCACTTACTTTAAGGTGCTCACTTAGCACGTGAATGACCCAAAGCATATGTACTTCCTTAAATTCTTCACCCTAGGCACCTAGCTTGCCTTACTGCTAAGTTCCTATGATACATTTCTTAGAGATATCACCTTGGCAGCCAGGTTTGTACACTGTTCACATCTCCCTTCAAGGAAGAACTTGTTATTCATCTGCAAGAAGTGCAGTTAGTTGACAACATCCAGCTACAGGACTTTCAGGATCTTCCTCAACTTTTAAGCTACAGCCATGCTCTTTCAGGAAACCCATCCAATGACTGAGCATGGCAGGGGTACTAGGCCTGGACATTTCTGCCCAATGCGAGACTCCTTTAATGGGCAATCTTTTCTCTGGAGGTTGCCACGGGGTTGGGTGAGATTTTGTCAGATCTGCATTGTGTGGTCAGAAGGCTCTCCCTGTCCAATTTTGCTTCCTTCCCCATTTGTCTTTACCCTCAAATAAACTACTTGCCTACTAATTCTGCTCAGAATCTCTTCCCAGAGAACCTAAATGACACATTCAGTGAACAACTAGCCATACCAATCTGAACCTGGAACTAGAGAAGAATTGGTGAACTCAAGTGATTTTGTTGTACAGTGGCTAAAAGGCTGGGCTCTAGAATCTGGGTTCAAATCCTGTTCCTCTATTTCTGATCTTATACAAACTTAGGCAAATTACATCAACTTCTCGGTACCTCAGTTTCTTCACCGGTAGAATGGGGATGTTAACAGTAAATGAGAACTATTTAAGATAATGCATTTAAAGTATTTAGTGCAGTACCTGGTCCATAGCTGGCCCATACTAAATGCTAAAGAAATAGAAATTAAAATTATTATGTAGGCTTTGAAATACTATTCACGGAGTTTGTCTGGCATAACAAAATAGGAGAAATGTTTACTTAATCAAATAATTTTCCTGACTGATAAAATTACTGAAGATTAATTTTGAAAAATTTGAAGTCCAATTCTGTCATTTTTTAAAAATTACATTTCTTCTTACTTCCAATATGGCTCCTCTCTCCATACAATGTCATCACCTCCTTGTCTCCTGTCATGATTTACATCTCCTTTCTTTTCCATCTGCTCCAAATTCTCCTATTCCTCTCCTTTCTATCAATTTTTGCTAATAAGCTCCTCCCACATTTGGTTGAGAACTCCTCTTCTCCAGAGAATCTTTCATGACCAGCATGCCCACCCCACCCCAACTGTGATTGTTCTCTATTGGCAAATGCTCCCAAGGATTCTGTCCTTTTAAAACTAAGAAGTACAGAAAAAAAAAAAAAATTCCAGTGCAATTCTCAAACCACATTGAAGGTGTCTTGCCTCCATAAACAATGGTTAATAATGAAATAGCAGGAATGCAGCAAACCACCACCAGAACATGTGTATACCTATGTAACAAACCTGCACAATCCGCACATGTGTGCTAGAACTTAAAGAATAATAAACAGTTAAAAAAAGAAAAGAAAAGAAATAGCAGGAATGGTATCACCTACTTCTTTAGACAGGACCTTCCCTCCCCCACGCCTCCTTTTGTCCCAAAGCTAGAAGCCAGCTTGGAGATGTGATGCTTAATAAATGCTTAAAGGATGAATGTTTTCAGCTGTGGATGCATGGTCAGTCTACAAATTACATTTTTCATGTCTTCATTCTGTATGTGAGCCTTAAAAATAAAACTTTTGGTAAGACAATCTCAGTCACATAATGGAGAAACTATTGTATGGGGACAAGTGTTTTACAACCATTTTAGGTATTTTTGGGTAATATAAGTTTGTTTCATAAAATAAAGACCTGGTCCACAATACATCTAAAAGCCAGTAGGTGGTCATAATTAGAGACAGATGGCAAATGCAGCGTTCTTGCCTCTCACTATTTAGTACATATAATATTCACTACAAAATGGCACTGAATGTTTTTCTGTTACCACACAGTACTACATAAGCTCTGAAAAACAAAACCTCTTTTTACACCTATGAAACTTCAAACAAAATAACTGACTTCAAAAGTAAAGTGAGAGCATTTTGTAATGGGATGGAAGGCAAGGAATATTTTTACACAGCTTAATATTTCTATATATGTCTTCATGCATATTGCAATACTCATGAAAAAAGGTGCTACTAAATCTTCAGCCATCCTATCCATTCAATTTAAAACCTTCCTTAAGATATTTTCATTCAAGGCAAGATTCCTGCATTGAGTAGGATACAATCTTAGGTTCATTTATAATATTGGAAATTAATAGAACCTAAAATAGCAATCAGTTACACACAGAGCAATATATGAGTATAACACTAATAGCCTACATAGATTTTTAATGTCTCCTAATATAATATGCTGTTTCAAGGAGCCATGTCTATATATTGCAATGCATTTTGACTGTACTATTATACTTTAATTACAAATTGAACATGGTTGACAAAAGCAGCATTTAGGAGTTATATAAATTTTTAAAGATACACATAATCCTCTGTAAGTACACAGCTCAACATGTAATAAAATATTAGATCTCGGATGCTAAAAAGTAAAGGTAGCTTTCACACTGACCTTAATAATATTTATTTTTATTGTTACAACTCAGTAAACTATTTTAGTAAAGTTTACAATTGTCAACAATGCAAAGTGAATAAAAAACAATTGTGGCTTTTGTGATCATTATCATGAAGCAAAAGTAATAGCCAATATGAAATAATTAACCTATTTACTACCTCAGCTTTAATATATTAAGAAACTACAAGATGGCATTAATACTATCCTAATCTGCTTCACTTAACAATATTTAAGATGCTTCCATTTTCAAGTATCAATACCCACTATATATTTAGAAAACCTACTTACGAACATCTATTTTATTTAATTTCTTAGAAAACTATGAGCTCAAAGAAAACCTACTTTTCTTTGTGAATGCTATCTGACTTGCTACCTTATTTTCTCATCTTTACAACAATTAGTTAATATAGATCTCAAAAAGCAAGTGCATAATGCAAAGTGAAAGAGTTATTATAAAGACAAGAAAACAAGTTTCTATTACTAAAGCAATACTCAAGGTAAGTTATTTTTAAGCATTTAGCACATTACAGTTATAATTAGCTAACCACCAGTTAGAAATATACATATTTTTCAAAATAAGTCTTTTAAATATAGTGTTGCAAGTATCTTTCTACCTTAAGAATTTGAAATAGCAATTAAGTATGAACCTTAAATCATTCGTCTTTACAACTAGAAGAGCGAGTCCCAAAGATGTAAATCTCATCCAATGAGACAAGGGATGCTGAATGTATTATTAATTGCTAAGTAATCTCTTAATTTTAGAATCTAGCACCCAATACTAGCAGATAAATAATGTGATTTATGAGCCTGCACTCTCACGCTGCTTTACTAGAGTTCAATAAACACATGCAGATCCTAAATGTACAGTGTGAATGTGATTCCTACAAGCCAGAAAACATAGCAGGATTTGGCTATAGCAAATCTACCACATCTACTTATTATTCAAGCACTAGTATTTAGAATACCTAAAATGCCTGCTGAACACTGCAGATCAATGTCCCCCTGGGGTTACTCCAAAGCAGAACCACATCTCTTCCCCTCACTGCTTACTGAGTTTTAAGAAGGCAGGTAACACGGGGTAGAAATTCTCATACGGCAGCAATATAACTCTTCTCTCCAAATTTTCAAAAATCAACACCTCCTCCCCATACACATGCACACACACATCCACAAGAAAGGAGGGCTTTTTAAATAAGTGTTTAAAACACACCATTTATGTGGGTTTGAAAATTTTATTTTTCCTCGACTTGCTGCTGTTGTATAAGATGTTTACAGATCTGATTAGAAAATCTGGATGTTCATGAAAAGGTATTGCTTTCAATGAGATTCCTTTAGTGAAATCTGACTGCACAGACACATGTGTACATAAATAATACATATTTATGCACACATGCCTACATTAACAAGGACACATGCACACACACCTAGACCAACAATTAAGCCCACACAGTTCTATAAGCCCTTTTCGACATTTTTTGCAGGCATGTTATTCAGAAGACAGATTTTTAAAAAATGATAAGCAGCTGCATATAATGCACATCCAAGTGGCACGTTTAGAAAAGCAAATACATTACCAGACGCATTTTGAAGTTTCTGGAACACCTGCAGGTGAAAGGAGACTGGATCGGTTGCTGGTACACTGTATTCCTCAGAATCACAGAGCTCGATGTGACTGTGAGGGAATGTGAGGCGAGTGTGAGGCTGGAAACCTTTGAGTTGAGCTACTCTAGGCATCAGAAACCCTCAAAGAGGGAAAAGAAAAAGGCAGCCCACAGACAGCTAGATGAGAAACTTCTGGCACCTCTCCAGCCCAGGAATGAATTCTCTGTAATTTGGAGACGTATAGTGATGGAAATGAAGAGAAACTTGGATTTACGGGTGAATTTGCTCAGCCATGCAGAAATAGGCAGGTAACAGTCTCTCAGCTCATTTTAAAACAGTCATTCAGAAACAAGACTGAATCAAAAAATTAACAGGCATTTTCCTGCTTTTGAAAAAATGAAAAGGCTACTCCAGCCAGCTTCCCTAGATGCCTTTACAAACTTCAAATGGATCATTCCATCAGCTATTTGTTGCACATTTTATTAATCCCACTGCAGACGTAAACTGGAAAATCTAATTCCTTTTACGTAGAAAACTAGATTTATTGCTTCTTTTTATAATGCACTTTAGACATATAAATACATAGATTTACTTGCAGAGTTTTGTTTCTTGTGTAAAACCACTACTGTTTGGTCCAGATAAAATGCTAAAAGGCTTGTTCACAGCTTTTCAAGGAAGTGGAGAAAAAAGTGTTTAATACTCAGAAGCTGAGCTAAGTACTGATATTTAAATGTACAGTTTGGAGCAAAGAGTATAAAGGAAGAGCCCTGAGCCATTAAGTGGCAGTTAAGAGGTACGATTATTTACAAGCACTGAGCAGGCAGGTGGCTCAAGTCTATAAATTTATGCATAATTAAGGATAGGAAGAAAAGAGATTTGACAAATTAAGTTCTTAGAGACAATAGCTGTGATTTTGTTCAGGTTTTCAAACAGGCTAATAACTTCTGAGGAGCACACATGGACTTCACCTTGCCTGAAGAACTCCGAAACCTCACAAATACAGAGCGAGGTCGAAGGCACTGCACACTGGCAATCTATATTCAAATGTAATGAGGAGAAGGACGATATTACCATGAAGAATGTTGTCACATTACATTGTGCCTGTATGGCTTAACTAGTCATCCAACCTTGCAAATGGCCACTTGCCTGGACTCAATAGCAAATGTGCTATTGATGGGAGGGAGGAGGTGGGAGGCTGATTTTATTTGTTTTACCACGGACGCTCCTATGGGAGGTTTGGAGATAAAACGCCTGGGCTGAGCATGGGAGTCATTCTGCTCAAGGCCACACTTGCCTATAATAAATTTGAAGTGGAATTAATGATGATCAATTAAGCTATTTATTATTTTAACTCTTGAGGTCAAGGGCAGGACAGTGTTTATAGATAAAGAGTCAATGGTCAGACTGCTGCAGAAGGCCAGGCTCACCTTTACACATGCTTGATCAACACGTATTGACTGAGGCACCACTAGTCCCCCTCACATTCTGGTGCCAGGCCTAGCGAGAGAGGTGTTTGTCTAGATTCTGTTCTTATCTCTCCACTACCATTTGCTTCAACCATTCATTCAACAAACATCCACCGAATTAGACACCCGATGCTGCTGAAAACACAATGATCGTTAAGATGAGAGCTCCCTCAAGGGGCTTACCATTGTCAAATGGTACCACGGGGACTTAGCAGGGGACAAACACGTCTGAATTACTTATAAAACTCATGCTCACCGCCATCACTTGCACTGTGGATTAATCTTGGTAGCATGAGGCAAGCAGAGTTTGCACGTGTGTTTTTAAACTCTCCCCAAGTGATTCTGATGAGGTCCTCCCTGTCACCCATAAGAGCAGCTGCAATTCAAGACTGCTGTTACAGAGCCCTGGAATCACTTAAGGAGGAAGGCATCCCACCGCCACTGCCTCCACACTCAAGCAGCACAGCTGGCTTGAGCTGACCTGCACTTGTGTGTTCTCGTCCATCCCTCCACCACAGGAAGGTCTGGACTTCCTCGGTTTACCCAGAGCCTGAGTACACAAGGCTCTAAATGAACTTGGAAGCCAAAGCTGAAGGCAAAAGATAGCCTACATCTTTTGGTTCATTTATATAACCTCTCTGGGCCTTTGTTTTGTTTTGGTTTGATTTTAATCTGTAGAATGAGAGGGCAAAGCAGGCTTTGAGTCTATATTTCTTCTGCCAAAGCATCTAAGAGGAAGCCAGTTCTGTAGCATACTGGCTCTGTGCAAGAGCACGCCTGAGACAAGAACTCAGAATTCCTAATGTAAAAGCAGCAAATCAAACCTGGTCCTTTCTGCCTGAGGAGCGAGGGTCCCAGCATTCTTCTACCCTTCTTCAGGAGAGGAACCACTGGGGAATCTGAATGAGAAAGCACATTATCTGCCAATTCCCTTCATTTTTTGCTTCAGCATCTGCCTCAGCTCCAGACCCAAAGGACCTCCCAGTGAGTGACAGATCCTGGAGTCTTCAAGCAAGGGGTCACACACTGCTGGAAGCCAGGTTACCACCCGGCCCCACCACAACAGATGCTCTTCAAGTGAGTGTAAGAACAGAGGGGGAGTTCAGTGCCCACAAAAATAGCATCCCTGCCCCCAGGTTCTACCCCTAAATCTCTGGTAGTAGCAGAATGTCCCATGTCTCTCCTCAGAGACATAAGGGAAGAATATGGCCACAGCATCCTCCACAGCCAGTATGCCTTCCCTCTGTCCCCTGCCCCAAATGTTGGCACTGGCTGATGTATATCTGGCAAGCTCACCCATGGTGAAAGAAAGAAAAGCTCTGAATAGCTCAGAGTAGAGGGCTCACTCTGCTTCCCCCGACTCCACCTGATTGCCCTGCACTCAGCACCACCTTCACTTGCTGAGGAAGAGTCTAACCTTCACAGGCACTGTCTTAGCCTGTTCTGTGCTGGTATAACAAGACACCAGAGACTGGGTAATTTATAATGGACAGACGCTGATTAGCTCATGGTCCAAAGGCTCAGAAGTCCAAGATCAAGGGGCTGACATCTGGTGAGGGCCTTCTTCCTGATCATAACATGTTGGAAGGATGAACGGCAAAAGACAGTGAGAGAGAGAGAGAGAGAGAGAGCGGAACGTGCTCTTTTATGACCCCACTCTGGCGATTACAGCATTAATCCACTCTGGAGGGCAGAGCTCTCACACTCCAATGATCTCGTATTAAGCCCACCTTCCAACACTGTTGCATTGGGGATTAGGTTTCCAACACATGCTTTTTGAGGGAGACATGTAAACCATAGTATTCCACCCCTAGCCTTTCAAATCATGTTCTTCCAACAGTGCAAAATACATTCATTCCATCCCAAACACCCCAAAGTCTTAACTCATTCTAGTACCAGTCTCATCTGAAGTCCAGAGACTCATCTAAATCAAATATGGTTGAGACTCAAGGCACAACACATCATGAGGCAAATTATTTCCAGCCATGAGCCTGTGAAACCAAACAAGCTATCTACTTCCAAACTACAATGTGGGACAGCATAGGATAGATATTCCCATTCCCATTTTATGAAAACAAACCTCATCTGATCAAATAAATATAATGCAAATTATGTAGTAAATGTACTAAAAAAAAAAAATGTGTTTTTAAATCTCCTGTAGTTCTCCGTTAAGAACAAGCAGAAAATCTTGACCTTGAAACACCAAGAGATAAGAAATGTTCAAAGGTGGTAGCACCATCAAGGTATTAGAGACAGATAGGTCTGAGCTGAAAGACAGGATTCTCTATTTAGTAGCCACATGTCTTTGGGTAAACCATTTAAATTCTCTCGTATTGTTTCATGCTCTGTAGAAGAAAGAAAATGCCTATCTTATGAAGTTACTTTGAGAGTTAAAGTCTGAAAAGTACTCGGAACCTCATAAGTCACTGAAGAAATAGTAACTCCTAATAACCAAAAGTTCGAATTGCCCTTGATATTTCCAATAGCCTGGGAGCTCCATGAGGACAAGGACTATGTCTTAGCCACCTTCATCTCCCATCCTTCATATCCAGAACATCGTGGGCCTCCACATCCATCCCCCAAATTTTTATTGCCTACCTACTATCACCACCACATTCTGAGTTATGTGCCGGAGACATGGCAGTGAACAAACAGACGTAGCTCCTGTCCTCATGTGGTTCACAGTCTAGTGAAGAGATCAATGTTAAATAGTGCCATGAATGACCAAAAATCATTAATTAGTTAATAATTATCATCTTAGTTTTTATTCATAACAACCCAGACAATGTCAAGGGTACAAATGGAAGAAAATTTGTGACTGCTTCAGACAATTACCTTTAAACCTGGGGGGCTGATGGTCTGTCTATCATTAAGTGGCAGATCTCTCCCAGGAGCTGTCTCCTGAGATCTCTCAGGCTAGCCTAGGCAGAGCTTTGATCTGTTCTTATAGTCCCTTATCCCACCGGCAAAACGTTCTCGTTCCTGGCTTCACTGTTTTACATCCAAGCTGTCTGAAATGCAATAACATTTTTTAAAGAGCAACAAGGATTTTAATTAAAGTTCCAGGGATCCAGCCAAGGATATTTTTCTAAAAGAGAAGCAATATCTGTTTTTGGAGACAGAACATTTCATAACAGAGATCTTATATACTGTGATGAATGACAAATAGTGACACGGGCTGTAACCCCACAGAAGCATGTGTGCATGTGTGTGTATGTGTACTTGTGTGTGTGTTTAAGCTTGTCCTGCCTAATGCGGACAGAGACAGGGAGACAAATGCACTCTAGTTCCTTAAACCATTCAGATGTTTAAAGCAGATCGTTAATGGAACAGCATAAGGGCCTTTCTCTTAAGGATAGGAGATTATTGTATGTTCTCTCTGATGATTCTCTTTGATTTAAAAGGCTCTGGCTACAAGACTCCCAGCAAACGCATTAGATAAGAATTAGACTTCTGCAAGTGCTGGTCAGCAGATGTCTACCACATACCTAAAGCCAGGGAAGGACCACAAGGGATACTGTAATTCCATGCCAGTTGTACCCAGTGGTAAATGGATTTGAAATCAAATAAAACCCAGAATATCATAGCTGGCAGTTTGGCAAGATTATTCCACCTATGGGTTTTGTTTTGCTTGTTTGTTTTTATAAATTCATGCTTGCTGCTTGGCAAATCATTGAAAATCCCTGCTCATCAAACCAGGGGCTGTAAAAAGTGAACTCCAAAACCACTCTTTCTTCCATTAACCTGAAATGCCTGCACTCATGTCAGCGTGGGCAGAGGTACGCTCGTGTCCATTTCAGGCTCATCTGCGAGTCCCTTGATACTGTGAGCAGAGGCATTAGAGGAAATTCTGTTAGAAGCTGGCAGACCATGTCAGGCAGAAGGGTTGGAAACCTGGAGGTTTCTGGTG